TTCCGTTCCAGGCGAGGAACCGCCTGGAGTTCTTCTTGATTCTGCGCCTCTGCGCAGCATCTTGCTCGACCATCTCTTCTCCTTCGAGATAACAGTACGTGTCCTGCACATGAGGTTCCATGTCTTCCAGTATATCTCCTTTCGCAAAAGCGGCAGCACATACTAGGTCCCCCTCATCCTCCTCGCGCCTGCCATCGTCTTTTCGTAGACGCGAGAGAAAGTCAGCGGCACAATTCTTTGAGCCGGGGCGGTACAATATCTCGAATTCGTACTCCGCCAAGAAATCCATCCAACGGGCAAGTCTACCGTGGATGTCCTTCTTTTTGAACGCATACTGAAGCGCTTGGTGATCCGTAATCAACTTGAACTTTTGCGTTGAGAGCAAATACACCCGAAATTTCTTTAGCGCGAAGATCACCGGTAATGCTTCTCTCTCACAGGTGGAGTACTTCTTCTCAGTCTCCGTCATCGTCCTGCTGGCGTATTGTATCGGGTGAACCTTCTTATCTTCCTTCTTCTGAGCCAGAACTGCTCCCACTGCCACGTTGGGTGCATCTGTCTCGACCACGAAGGGTTCGTCAAACTTCGGGAGCGCCAACAGCGGAGGAGACGTCACCCTCTTCTTCAACTCCTGGAAGGCGGTCCGCATCTCTTCCGTAAATTCAAATTCGACTTTGGTAGAAGTAGCAGCATGCAACGATGCAGAGACTTCTGCGAACTTAGGGATGAATCGGCGGTAATACCCCGCTAGCCCAAGGAAGCTTCGTAACTCCGTCTTGGCGAGCGGCTCGGGGGTGTCCCAAATGATCGATGTCTTCTCTGGATCCACCTCAATCCCCTTCTTTCCGATGACGTGCCCCAATAGCCTGGTCTGTGATTGCGCGAAGGAACACTTCGCAAGCTTCAACTTCAATCCACTGCGAGCAATCAGCTCGAACACTTCAATTAAATGGTCAACATGGACGTCCAAGGACTTTGAAAAGATAACCACGTCATCAAGGTATACTCGGACGAATGGCAGGTCTCTGAATACGCCATCCATCATCCTTTGAAATGTTGAAGGAGCGTTCATGAGCCCGAATGGCATCACTTCAAATTGAAAGGTCCCGTACCGACAGACAAACGTCGTCTGTTCTTTGCACCATGAAGCCATCCGCACTTGCCAATAACCCGAGAACAAGTCCAGGGTAGTGAACACTTTGCTTCCTTCAAGGTCGTCGAATATCTCTTCCATTTTGGGCAACGGCCACTTGTCGGCCTTCATCACCCGGTTAAGCGCGCGGTAGTCAACACAGAAGCGAGGTTTCCCGTCCTTCTTCGTTGCGATGACGACCGGAAACGACCAAGGAGCTACAGAAGGGGTAATGATCCCTGCCTTCTGCATCTTCTCGATCTCCTCGCGCACTACCGCGTTGTGTCTCGGAGGGAGCCTCCGAACGGCGTGCGAAATGGGTCTGTCGTCATTTAACTCAAAAGAATGTGACACAGGGACATCTGTCGGCCTGAGGTCGTCCAAAGACCATGCAGCTATTCCCATACTCTTGATAGAACATATTATGCGGTCGGCGTTCTCTCTGCTGATATGGCTCAGCTTAGACATGAGAAGTTCCTCCTTCTCATCTCTCTTCTCTTTCTCATCCGCCGGCTCATACTCTGAGCCTTCCCCAGCTAGGTCCGGAAGTCCAGCATGAGGATCTTCGTCCTCAGTGACTGCTCCCGCCCAGGTAAGGTCTGGTTCAAACGGCACCCTGTCACGCATCGAAAGGACGAAGTCTTCATCCGTGTCAGTCGAGTCAGCCGGCACGGCCCCCGAGTCTGACGTGAAGTCCTCACTGTCGGTAGCGGATCCCGGCTTCTTACGGTCTTCATCCATCTCAAGACTTAGTCGAATCGTCTCAGCACCCACAGTCACTTGGACATGCTGTTGCCCCAAATCAATGCACGTTTGGAGCTCCTCTAACGTCGGCATCACCACGATGACGTCGTATGGTGTTCCCGTAACGACAAGGAAGTCCATCATGCTCACCAGTCCCCTAAACGAGACGGGGACCTGGCGCAGTGATCCAACACAAGGGGAGCTCTTCCCATCTGCCACAGTGATGTGTTTCTTCGTACTCTCTGGCGTCAGAGAAAGTCTCTTCATGAGGTGCGGCGACATGATGTTCGGCACCGCACCCGAATCCAGTAGTGCTTGAGCATCAGTTCCATAAAATTGAACAGTAACTACCCGAAGACGCCTCGGGAAGACATCCGTGTGGCCCGCAAACCCGCGAGAACGCCCTAATCTCCTGGATAGAAGGCGCCTCATCTCCTTCCTTGCTCCTTCAGCGTCTCCACGGACAAGTTGTCCAAATGTTAGACCAGACGGCGCATTCGCCAGCTCTGACACGACGTTGTACTTGCCGACGTGCTCCTGGAGTGCCGCCTTCTTTGAAACATTCTTCTTCTTCTGGCGTGCAGGCTTCACTCTCGGCACTCTCAGCGGCTCATTCCAGGGGATAGTTCCCCTAGGAGCTACTGGAGTGGGATTCAGCAGCCTCGGGATCGAAACTTCTTCACGGTTCTTCGACTGCTTCGGCAAGGCCTCTCCTTCGGCATTGCGTTTCGTAGCTGCCACCAATTCTCCCTTGGTGGTCTCAGTTATGACTGTGACTTGCTTCGAGTCTCTGGTGGCCGTGTCACCGGCGTCGTTGGCAGAACCGCCTGCTTTGGGGCCATAAGCGCTTCCTGCGCCAGCGTTACCTTGAGGACGTGCATGAGCCACATTCTTTCTAGCAAAGCGGGACCAGCAAGTCTCCGTCGTGTGTCCAATCTTCCCACACGTTGGGCAACGAGTATCACGGTGTGGGTTGGAACGACAACGAGTCGCTGAATGCCCTAGTTCCTTGCAATAGGAACATGTCCAACTCGTATCACTGTCCCCTGGCGTCTGTCGTTTCTTCATCATCAGTGAGAGTTCCGCCAGCGGGTTGGTGATGGCGTCAACCTTGTTCTCCAGCTTTTCCTGTCGAGGATCCACATCAGAACGCACCAGTACGCGCTTGGGCGTCACAGGTTCAACGGACTGCGCAGCAGTTTTCGCCGCCTTGAAGGCGTCACGGCCTGCAGCAAATTCCTTCACGGTCTTCATCAGTTATTCGTACGTCGTCAGAGAACGATAGATCGCGAACTGAGCAACATCCAAATGTGCCATTACGGCATTGCGAAGCAAGCCGTACTTTGCCTCGTCGTTGAAACCAGCCCTTCTGTAGAGCTTGTCCATTTCATCCATCGAAGTAAGCAAGTTCTTACCATCCAGTCGGCAACTCATAGCCTTCTGGATGTTTTCTTCTGGCCTCGGTGCCTCCGTAAAACGGTCGGACAGGGCGCTCTTCACACTGTCCCAGTTACTGGCGGCCTCGGTCAGACTCCCATTATGACTATACGTTTCATAGTAATAGTCGAACGCGGCACCCTCAAGGTGGCATAGGATAGCTCCTGCCTTCTCCTCGTCAGGCTTGCCGCGCATAATGATGTTCTCGTATACGAACAGAAACTTGGAAACATCTGACCCGTTCGACCCATCGTAGGTAACAGGGTTAGGGCCCGCACTTGTGTCTGCGTCGGCCCTCCACAAGAGTACCATGTTGTCGGTGAAATGGGGGAGGCGGTTCTGGGGAGCGTGTCGTTTGTGGTGAGGGTTGGCCGAGTGTCGTCCCCCCTTTCCCGCAGCGCCCGTCACCCTCTCTCTTTTATTTCTACGAAATTCCTTCCAGAAGCGTCCACGCATCCGGCCCGGATTCCGCCGGGCCGTCCGCGTGCGCTTCTCTAAAATTCAAATAAAATCTCGGACCACAGAATAAAATCTCCCTCTACAGTAAAATGCAAATATTTCCCTAAAAATATCTCACAAGTGTGCAACAACCCAAAAATACAAAATAGGCGGACTTTTCTATTTTTTATTTATTTGCTTGGATGTCTGATCTTAGTGCTCGGTTGAGGTGCAAAAGTGTCCGCTCGCTTCAATCTCACTCCTCTTCTGTGTCCGTGGTTGTTTTCGCCAAGTCCCAGTGGACGACAGGCTGAGAGTGTCCCCGTCGCAAAACATAAAAAATGGTGATTGCTTGACAATTACAAGTACTTTTTCCTTTTAATATTGAGGTTTTTGTCCGACGTCTCCAGCACCCCCCCTTTAGGCTAATTTCGGAAAAGTAGCAGTTGGGTGAGTGTGCAGAGTGGGTGACATGTATGCGTTGTCACACTTGTCTCTAGGCTGACCCCCCAAGGAAAGTATACCCAATTATATAAAAAACGCAGAGGTCGAAACTGTCTCCGTCGAGATCGCCTCCGCACACCCCCTCGTACCATGCTTGTTTCGTTTCATCCATTCTCCCAATATTACGAAAAACTGCTGTTATCACAGGTGCCCTAGGGCAGCCGTGAGACAAGTTCTTGACAACGGACTTGTTCAACTGGTACTGTACCCAAGGGTACTGCAAAGTTTACAGCTGGTGGATATCTGCTTGATCAGAAGAGTAATTCTCGCAACCAATTAGGTGGGGCCATGACCTTAATTTTTTTTTCTTGAGTCGGCAGTGCCGACTCAAGAAAAAAAAATTACCGACACGGCACCCAGTAGTGCTACAGGGAGATGGAATTTAACCTTGTGCCATCACAGGAAATGTGCCATCACAGACCATGCATACGTCGTGAGAGGGACCCTTGTATGCGTGTTAAGAAAGATGCGGCATCCATAATGAGCCACAATGCATACCGCACTTGTAGCTACCGTACGCATCGACTTGAATCGCACAAAGAGCTTTTTTTGGACGCTCGCCGTGCAGATCAGCCCACGGTATACATACTTGGGATAAGAGAACAAATGTTTTACCAGAGCAACTACAATTCTATGCAGGGCAAACCTCTCGACACAGTTGCACAGAAGAGCAGTTTCTTTCCTTAAGACTCATTTATTTTCGCTCAACAGAGCCAAACTTCTTAATGACTCCTACAGTGCCACAGCATAGCATGGCCTTTATGGAATGGATTCAGTGTCCCTACTACTATATCTACATGTTGCACCTGAACTTATTAAGTGAAGTAGAGCATAACATGTCAAAGGGTGTTAAAAATGCGTCTTGTGATATTTCTGAAAACGACCGGAGACGACATGCAGTTTTCAATAAAATACATCCGCCCGCAACGCAGAAGTAAGGAACGGTGGAGAAGGTATCTTTCTTCTTCTTATCGAGTAAGCACATGTCCAGAAAATAAAGATGAACGGTAGCCTACTACGGGTCATATGAGTTCAAATGTCACCTAGACACCAGACAGGGCGACGAAAGACACTCAGCGAGGAAAGAATTCTATGGCACTTCTCTCATATAGTAAAGGGTTCTGTATGAATCGATCTTCTGACACGTTCATTTAGGCGTCAGAGCATCTTTCACAATTATCAGGGATACGCCCTTCCCAGAGATCTTGAGCGTGCTTTTGTGCCACTGCTCCAATACCTTTTCCCAACTCGAAGCCAGCGTCCACAGAGGGAGAAAAGTGAACACCTGCATACAACCTCGACTTTCCACAATTCAACGCTGCTGCTTGCAGCGTTTCATACTTCACCTTAACATTCTCGGTGAGGGGGGATCTTCCGAAAGGGAAAATATCCGTTTCATATGCAGCGATAGTCCCATTCACTTTGATGAAATTCGTGAGAGCAGCATGCAAATGATCCATAGTTGCTTGGCAGATGAGAGCGCTTGCGGAGGGGTACTCAGAGTGTGGTTGAATTGGCACGATGGGTTCCCATTCTTCAGCCCTCACGAGGCCCACTCCCTCGTCCAAGCTCTTGAACGCTCTTATCTTTTTGCCTTCGAACAATCGTCGAAGCATGGTCGGAGGCCGCACCAAGTCGTGACGAAGCTTTTCCTTCCATGCCAGCATCACTGAGTCGTGCTGCGCCATAACCTCTCCGAGAGCTATGACTATGAAGTCGACAAGGCTAAATCCGTAAACACCTTGGTAGAACGCGATGAAACTCCCTAGAGACAAGAATTTGTTATCCCACCAGTGCGCCTGAGCGATTTGCTCTTTCGTGAGGTCACGATTGAGCTTCAGAACTTCCCTAAGGAGGCGTCGCATTGTTCGCTTGTCTTTGGCACCGATGGTCTTTTTGCGGTCAGCGGACGCGTACGGAGACTCCGATTTGCGGCTCAAGAATTCTTCCCTGGAAAGAACAAGAGGTTTGGCTCTGCCAATGTGGGGCGCAACATGAACTTGACTTGTGAAGCGACCGCGACGGTCAGCCTCCTGTTTGAGAGGTTGCCAGCGGAGCGGGCGACGAAGTCGAGAGACGTCAAGCTCAGCGTGGTTTTGAGGCTTGAATCCGGTGTAGTCCGAGTACTGCTGGCGGAAGTGGTCTCTGGAGAGATCGCCCAAGGAATTCCAACCATCGGTCTCGAGGTAGGCCACCAAGTCCATGGCCATTGCGTTTGCGATTCCAATTTCCGTGGTCGGATCGGTAGAGTCAGATGTGGGATCAAGCCCTTGCCGGATGAGGAAAGCTTCAAGATTGCGTCCTTCAAGGGGAAATTGAGAGCGGTACAAACGATTCAGGAGGAAAGCGGAAATCTTGGCAGCAGGTAGAGGCGCGCATAGATGTGGTGGAATTGCATTGCGCTTGCCCAGGAATCCTAGGGCTTTCGAATCACATGCCGCAATGACTTCGTAACCTTGTATTGTGAAAACCAACACGGTGCGAATTGCGATGGGAGTCTCCGCGAGGATAACATCTGTTGGAAAGAGAAGATTTGCAAGTTCGTTCGGAGGGGTGAAATCGATAGTTAGGTTTTGAAGAAGAGTTGGTTCTTCTGGAGCCTGTGCGTTCACACAATGGGAGAACAATAAGACAATGAATGCAAGAACATGGAGTACCATGGCTGCTGGCAGTTGCTCACGACGGAAAAATGTTGGTAAACAATGGATGGCGTATTGATGCTCGATAGAATGAATGCAAGCCTTTCACGACCTGCAAACACGAGGAAAAATATAAGTAACGCTTTCGTTCAAGACTAAGATCTTGATCTCAAAACCCAAACGCAGGTGAGCGGCTTTCCCGAGCAGGATCTCTGGCACACGTTTAGGAAAGCTACTTGCCTTGCGGGTATGGAAGCTAGACTTCCATAATCATACAGTACCAAGGGTATGCCAACGCTTGAGTCAAGCGGCTTGACTGCAAAAGCCCCGTGGAGGCTGTGCTTATACTGCACTGTGAACGATTATATCCTCGCGTTGAAGGAATCGACATGAGATTGACTTTTTGAGATTTCCTTATCCTGTCCTCATTGGCACATGTGGCGCAACCGACCTCTGTGATTTTGATCTACTGTATAGAGAAGAGGAGCAGCTTTCGTAGTTTGGAAGGACTATTCGGTACAGTGGCCAAGCATTAGTGCCGCCCCGTGCGAAACCCAAAAAAATGCGCTATTGGGAGACGGCATTAGTAAGTGACGTCGTCACATCTATCTCCATACACTCGGTAATAACGTCTGCCTGCTCGGTATTGGTTCTCTGCTGTTCGCAGTGAGAAATGCGCGCTTTGTCGACCTTAGATGCGAAAGAGCTTCTGGAACTTGGCACTCAGTCGCCAAAAGTTCCAGGTCCCCAAACAATTTCGCCATCCCGACGACATGAGGTATAGTTTCTCTCTCGAACGCATTTTCTGCGCTCTCATCTTCATCACTTGATTGCATTTCAGGTGGATTCTGCACCACCTGAATCGTCTCCAAAACATCCATGGCGTCACTGACAGACGCTTCCACCACACCTTGGCGCAGTTGAGAAATTCGAGGAGGTTCAGTTCGACATCGGGGACAATTACGGACTGACGAATCTTCATTTGAAGTGCTTTGGGCGTCTCGCTTGCTACGCGGAGCAATGCTGGAGCAGTTGCTTTGATTTTGCGTACAATGCGCTCTGCAATGCCGAACTGTCGCCTAGCTGCTGGTGTACGGTGTCCATTGTGGAGCAGATCTACGACTTCGAGCTTCTACGAAATCGTCAGGCGCTTGCGCGTCGCTTTTTTTCCAGGAACCGGAGCCGTAACCGGAGCCATAACGAGCACAAGTTAAAGATCTGTGAACGATGTTCGGTGGCGTGAGGAGGATGGGAACGGAAAGCAGCTTTCACATGTATGACACATACTGACGGTAGCGTGACAGCCGGACCCGTATGACCCGTGGCACTTCGTGTTCGTGCGTCTGCGCCTGCACTATTGGGAGGGTGGCACAAACAAAAGCAGCACTAATGCGTAAGGGCCACTGTACAAAGAGAATCCTCATAACGCATCTGTTTCCAGAATCATGAAATGCGTTGGGAGGAGTGGGTGACATGTCCTTGACAACGGACAAAGAGCAGGAAGATACCCCACTTGTCTCACGGCTGACCAAATTATGGCACAATATCCGCCAGGGGACAACTTGCGATATCAGCACAGTGCGACTGTGCACAGCGACACCAGCGCGACACACAGTAATTTAAGTCGCGAAATGCAACGCGCAAGCTCGGACATGTGTCGTAATATTGTAGTGATATTGATTGAGGATCATGCCCAGTTCTCGCAAACTTCCTGAAAACTGCTGTACTGTCATGGACGTTGCCCTACCCAACCGAAGGGCAGGACAACCTTCGATAACAGTAGTTTTCCGCAATATTGGGAGAACGGATGAAACAAAACAGGCATGGTACGAGGGGGTGTGCGGAGGCGATCTCGACGGAGACAGTTTCGACCTCTGCGTTTTTTGGTACCTTCAGTATTCCTTTCCTCGGGGGTCAGCCGAGAGACAACCAAGGAGGCATTTGATTTCAAAAAGCTGAACTCTGGGTACCCTTCTGCCGTCCGGTGGTGCTCCGTTTCCTAAACAGAGTGTAAAATGCTAGCAAACGACTGTCGCAAATTTCACGTGGGCGTCGAGGCGGGGGAGGGCCGAGTTGTGCACATAAACGCGCCACGAAATCTCGCACGGGGTGCGACATGTGGACACGTGTGGGCGTGAGGCGTGTGGGCGTGAGGCGTGACCGAAGCCCAGCTGGGGTTGCCAACCCCAGCAACCAATGGTTGCTGGATGACTTGTTGCCAGCAATTGCTTGGCCAGACAAAGGCGCCCCACTGCTATCGTGGCTCAGCGGGCGCGGGCCTTCCCACCGAAGGCTTAAACAGCCAGGACAAGGCGACCTGGACCGCCCCGAACTGCTCATGTATGCGAGAAAAGGCCGCGCGCGTTGGTGATACGGTGATTGCGAAGGGCGCCGGAGGTTTGACCCCCCTCCGCAAGCAAAAGGTCGAGAATAGGAGGCGCGAAACCGCGGCTTTTCACAGTCGTCCGATGCATGCGGCATGGCGGCTCTTTAAGGTAGTGGCAGTGACCTGCATCCTAGACTACACGCGCTAGCAAGCCCAGCGAGGAGACCGAGCCTTGATAGGACTTGCGCGTTCCCACCGCCAACCTACGCTGGTTTCGGCCACGATGACAAGGTAAAAACACAGGCTATCTACTTTCGACTTCTTTTTCGGAGGCCCTCTGCATCTATCACCGGTGGTCTCGATAGGCCCCTTCTTTCTATAATGTCAACCATGCTCCTCTGTTTTCTAGACAGCTCACGACGCGCTTCCTTGGTATTCGCCACAATCTCTGCGGCGTCATCCTTCATCCTGCGATACCAACCCTGCTCATCGCCCTCCAGTTCGGCCAATTCTTCCCCAGTAAAACTTCTCGTAATCCCCACATCTGCACGATCGAGAACAAAATTATGCACCTTCATAGAAAGAACAATTAAACGCGCGTTAGTGTGTAGCGAAAAACTGAGTTGGCTGAAGATCCTCCACTTACCGACTAGCATCCCAAAAGCTTGCTCTACATGCATTCGGAGGGAAGAATGATATAATTAAATGCGTCTTCCGCGTCCGTCGCACTGGCTGCAGGAAAGGGCGTAATCAGAGACTCCGTACAAACATATGCCTCATCCCCCGCTATCTAACACTCGAAATGCAACTTGCCAGATTCTAGATAATGCCCAAGTGCCGATACAGTGTGGGTCACAGAGTCATGAGTTGAACCTACGCAACGCGCCGAGCAGCATAAAAATCTATAGTCAGCGTCAACTACAGCCTGCACAGGTAAAGCATAATACAGCTTTCTACAAAAGAAAGTGCTCGGTGTGTGGCACCACGCGGGCTTCTTGATTTTGATGGCTATACCGTCCAAAGCGCCAACGCAACCAGAAAGCGGAGACGGGGGATTACGAGACATCTTGAAAGTTTTTGCCGAGTGACGTAAACCAGACACTGTGGACGGCAACCCGGGCAGCTGCAATCTTTCTGACAATACTGTACACGTAGAATGAAACACATTGTAAACTGATGTCTTAGACATCTGATAAGTACCCATTAAGTCTAGATAACTTGCGCCAGACATCATCCTCAGCGTCACGGCAAGGCGTACATCCGGTGGAATGGTCGGTCGTTTTGCCCGTCGTCCCATTTCGATATTCTTCTGGAGAGACTGCCTAACGCTACTAAGCAATTCATGAAACGCTTGGCTTGGCATTCTGAAAGCCCTACAGAACAAAGCGTCATCATAAACCAGAGTCAAATTTTCAAACGTCAGTTGTTCCCGCAAACGCAATTCCAGGCGTACTTTCCGCGTTTTCTTGTCTTTTTTGGAATTGAGAAGAATTGCCGCAGCCGCGAGCAGTATCAAAAACATCCTTCTACGCCGCATTCGCAATAGGACGAGCTTAATTCGGCGGTGGATTTCAGGACTTAACTTCATTGGTAGAGAAGAAGTTTGAAACCCTGACGAAGGAAAGGGAGTGCTGGGGAGGACTGTGTTGGATACTGGCGGTTGCTGATCTATCATGACCGTTTTGGTCATGCACATCGAGGGACCTCATGTGGCAAATCGCGGGGCGTTGGCTGCAGGGGATACGTCAGAGACGACGGAGGTCGTCTAGGTTAGCGTTTGGTGCGCTAACCAGAAAAACAAGAGTAGTGGCGAGTTCGCTCTGGCCGGACTGATTCCCGGGAGGGCGCTGCCTTTTATTATCCCTCGTCGCCGTTCCTTTCTCCACCGCCTTCCAGCGGCAGACTCTGTCTCGTGCATCGGCGCGGTGCATGCGAACGGGCGCCAGCGGCGGACGCCCGTTCAACTCTAATTGCAACCGAAAGGTCGTCTCGCGCAGCGGACGTCTGTCCGTCGGCGCTAAAGTAGAGACGCGGTCGCCTCTTGTTTCGTGCACCGTGATAAGGAAACGGCCGTACGTCCCAAGTAGCTCTGGGATCAATAGGGCATCGCTACAGTGCCCCATGAAGGGCGAGGCTTGGTGCAAGCGCTTCATTAGAAGGAGCACAATTGAATCGCCTCGTTTTTGAGTTCGCGCTTACCAGAGCTATGCAAAAAATCTTCGAGGATTCCGGGGAGGTCTTCAGCAACCTGCGCGAGCGGTTCCCATGTCTGATCGACCTTATCGGGCAGACCTTCCCATTCCACCAAGACATCAATTCCAGCGGCGGTCTTCCGAATGTCGCACGTCTTCTTTACATCCTGATACGTAGTCTCGGAATGTTCTGCACACCGAAGTAGAATAGGGTCCACTTCTTGGTTCTCGAGAGCCGCTCGATAAAAAACAAGACGTCGGGCATGAACGGTTGCGCGTTTTCGATTGATCAGATCCACTACCTCGTACACCCAGTCTGATTTAACCTTGGTTACGCGCCTCGGGCCGCACCACACGAACTGTAGCTTGTGCCCCTTGCGCTGTGCTCGCCGCACAAGTACGAAGTCTCCCTTCTCAAAATTAGCGGCGTGCACGTTGGTTTTGGCATTGTGTGTCGCCACTGCTCGTGCGCGAGACTTAGAAACCAGACCCTTCACATCTCGATGCATTCTGTCTAGAGAATCCTGAGTTCGATTTATCTCGATGAGCTGTCTCGCCCGCGTCTCAGTTAGAGTGGGTACGCGCTTGTACTTTTCCACGGGGAGGGCAGCGAGCAGCGGTCGCGTAGGGCGATGTGAGGTAAACACCTGTAGTGGAGTGCGATAGACCCCTGGGGTCGTCTCG